AAATATCGCAATATATCGCCTTTTTTACAGTATCGAAATATATCGGGATATATCGTATTGTGACCCCTCTGTCATGATATGTATTGTATCGCCAAATTCTTGCCAATACACAGCCCTACTAAAAATATCGAYGTTGATGAATCATCACAGTTCGCGTTATCGATTCCCTAAACTTGACAGTGTGTACTGCGTGGTAAAAAAGTCGTCTCTGCCGCCTTTTACACTGAACTGCTTCTGTTTGAAAACTTTCCTTGCATCCGTACAATTCACTGAAAAGGACTTGAAACAATTTGTCTTCGCAGCCAAGGAAAAGGAACAATAAAACCCAAAGGAAAGCAAACTCCTGCCTCGAAAGACAAGAAGGACAATGTTTCTGCTTGGTCTCCATCCAAGCGCATACTTTTTATGCCTTGGCTCTTTTTTTGTTTTTTGTTTTTTTGTATTCAAAGACACACAGGCTTTCAACACAATAAAACTGACCATAATTTTAATAAGGTGGCAGCTGAAGGTGGTGTTGTAAAGATATCGTTTGTCACTGCTGAGTGCCTGTGGGTTTAAGGAGAACACTTTCTCTGCTCAGCAGTTTTGAACCTCTGAAGGTCTGTCTCACTCCTCTGGACATAAAATTATTTGCACTTTGAAAAGAAGTCTTTCTTGAGTTTTATGTAAACAAAAAAAAACAAACAAACAAACAAACTACAACTTGTATTTATTCCAGTCAGTGATTATTTGACTTTGAAACCATCTAAGCTGTTTGTGAACATTCCTTCACCTTGTTTTTTTTTGTAAGTCTAGACGGCGCACTCACTAAAATGAATAGTCCACTTGAAAATAACTCCAACAACCTTTTAAGAACCGAGCCAATGTGATGGCAGCCAAGTTTGATTATTAATGGCGAGTCTCTATCTCTTAGTCCTAATTGGTCTCTGCTGATTGCTGAGCGTTCTGATTAAGAAATGCCATTAAAATTGATGTATTATGCCTCCAAGTGTTTTTTCACAGTTAGATAGCTGCTTCAATCAATTGATAATTACACAGATGATTTGTAGCCGAGCGTCATTTTGACACGTTTGCAATAATTGGCAAGAAAGAACTTTTCCCCCATTTTTTTTACCCTTTCTGTGCATCCTTGATAAAATTGATTAAAGAGGAAGTGGTTTCTTGTTTGAAACAAATTCTGAGGAGACAACAATGTAGAAAACCTAAAATCACCACACTGTTATTCAAATATTGAAAGGAGATTTAATCGTGTTTAAGTTTGTACTCGTTTCCTGTTTGCGATGGGGGTAATTTCCCAGGTCTTCATGGGAGATTTGGACAGAAAATGTCTGTCTTTTGTTACTAAAATGCAAACAGACAATTAGAGGAAGCAAAATGTAAATCTATAGGGAGACGTCAGTGAGTTGGGTAATGATTTTTCTTTGTGTGAAGCTAATGGAAAACATCTCAAGTTTTGTGAGACGGTAAACATTTTCCCTTCAGGGTTTTTAATCCATAAAAAATACTTTTTTCCCCAACTTGTTATACACTATATATATA